CAACATTAACAAAATGAAGGATAAAAACCATACGATCATCTCAATAGATGTAGCAAAAGCATTTGCAAAATTCAACATCCATTCATGATAAAAACTCTCAACAAAGTGGGTGTAGAGGAAACATACCTCAACATAATAAAGGGCATACATAAAAAGCCCACAGCTAACATCATACTAAACAGTGAGAAACTGAAAGTTTTTCCTCTAAGATCAAGAACAAGACAAGAGTACCCTGTCTCACCACTCCTAATCAACATAGTACTGGGAGTCCTAACCATAGTAACTAGGTAAGAAAAAGAAAAAAAGGCATCCAAATTGAAAAGGAAGAAGTAAAATTGTCTCTATTTGCAGATGACATGACATCAAACATAGAAAATCCTAAAGACTCCACCAAAAAACTATTAGAATAAATTCAGTACAGTTGCCAGATACAAAAGCAATATGCAAAAAGCAGTTGCATTTCTATATGCGAACAACAAACTATCAAAAAGACAAATGAATGAAATGATCCTATTTACAACTGCATTAAAAAGAATAAAATACCTAGAAATAAATTTAGCCAAGGAGGTGAAAGATCTGAACACTGAAAACTATAAGACATTGATGAAAGAAACTGAAGATGGCACAAAGAAATAGAAAAATATTCTATGCTCATGGACTGGAAAAAATAATACTGTTAAACTGTCCACACTACCAAAAACAATCTGCAGGTTCAATGAAATTCCCATCAAAGTCTCAATAGCATTTTTTACAAAAGCATTTAAAAAATCCTAAAATTTTATGGAACCACAAAAGATTCCAAATAGCCAAAGCACTCGTGAGAAAGAAAAACAAAGCTGTAGGCATCAGTGTCACATTTCCTTATTTCAAACTATATTACAAAGCTATAGTAATCAAAACAGCATGGTATTGGCATTAAAAAAAAAAAGTAGATCAAGGGAACAGAATAGAGAGCCCAGAAATTAACCCATGCATATACAGTCAACTAATATTTGACAAGAGAATCAAGAATACTCAATAGCAACAGGATAGTGTCTTCAAAATATGTTAGGAAAACCGGATATTCACATGCAAGAGAATGAAACTGGACCCCTATCTACACCACTCACACACATACACACACAAAATCAATTCAAAATGGATTAAGGACATGAATGTAAGACCTGAAACTATAAAACTCCTAGCAGAAAACATAGGGAAAAAGCTCCTTGACATCAATCTTGGCAATAGTTTTTTTTGGATTTGACACCAAGAGCAAAGGCAACAAAAGCAAAAATAAATAAGTGAGACTTCATTAAGAAGTTTTTGCATAGCAAAGGAAATCATCAACAAAACAAAAAGGCAGCTTACCAAATGGGAGAAAATATTTGCAAATCATGTATCTAATATGAAGAGCACATATAGCAAAAAAAAAAAAAAAAAAAAAAAACCTATGATTAAAAAATAGGCAGAGGAACTGAATATACATTTTTCCAAAGAAGATATACAAATGCCAATGGGTACACAAAAATATCCTCAACCAATCATCAGGGAAATACAAATCAAAACCACAATGAGATATCACCTCACACCTGTTAAGTTGGCTATCATCAAAAAGACAACGGATAATAACTGTTGGTGAGGATGTGGAGAAAAGGGAATCCTGTATACTGTTGGTGAGATTGTAATCTTGTGCAACCACTGTGGAAAACAGTAAAGAGTTCCCCCCCCCCAAAATAATGTAGAATTACCATAAGATCCAGCAATCCCATTTCTGGGTGTATATCCAAAGGAATTGAAAACAGGATATCAAAGAGATATCTGTAGTCCCATTCATTTCAGCATTATTCGAATAGCCAAGATATCCAAGATATGGAAATGAACTAAGTGACCATCAACAGATGAATGGATAAGGAAGATCTGATAAATCTATATCTACATAGATGGGCTTCCCTGGTGGCGCAGTGGTTGAGAGTCCGCCTGCCGATGCAGGGGACACGGGTTCGTGCCCCGGTCCGGGAAGATCCCGCATGCCGCGGAGCGGCTGGGCCCGTGAGCCATGGCCGCTGAGCCTGCGTGTCCGGAGCCTGTGCTCCGCAACGGGAGAGGCCACAACATTGAGAGGTCCGTGTACCACCAAAAAAAGAAAACAAAACAAAAAATCTATATCTACATAGATATATAATGGAATATTATTCAGCTACAAGAAAGAAGGAAATCCTGCCATCTGTGGCAACATGGATGGACCTTGAGGGTATTATGCTACGTGAAATAATCCAGTCAGAAAAAGATTAATATTGCATGGTATCACTTATACATGGAATCTAAAAAAAAAAAAGTCAAATTCACAAAAAGAGAGTAGAGAAAAGTGGTATCCAGGGTTTAGAGGATGGGACAAATAGGGAGAGGTTGGTTAGAGTATAAACTTTCAGCTATAACATGAAAAAGATCTGAGGAGCTAATATAAAACATGGTGATTATAATTCAAAACACTGTATTGTATAATGGATTTGCTAAGAAAGTAGAACTTAAATGCTCTCATCAGAAAAAAAAAAGTAAATGTGTGAGGTGATAGATGTTTAATCAACTAGATGTAGGGAATCCTTTTATAATGTCTAAGTATATCAAATTACCATAATGTACACTTTAAATATAATTTTGTCAATTATACTCCATTAATGCTGAAATTTTTAAAAAATGAAATCAATTCACAATCTCTGTTATACTGATAGCCATCTGAGGATATCCAAATGTTCTATGCAGGTTTTTGTATCATACAGCTAATTCCAGGTACTTCTACAACTGCTTTCTTACTGCCCTTCTTACTAATGATGTTTTCTATTCCCTCTATATTAAATTATTATTATTCTCAAACTGTGACCATATAAATGTAATATTGTCTATATTAGATTTTCGGTGTGAACTATGTTTTTAATGACAGAGAGTATTTGGATACAAAAAAGCTTTTCAAAATGTGACTTTGTCAAATTTCTGAGAAGCTTGACAATCATCTTCAAAGATGATTCCAGAGGACATTTTTTTCTTCCCTCAGTTTTCATCTTTTTAAAATCAATGACTCTTTTTATTCTGCTTGGTCAGACTACTAGGCTTTTGATTTACAACAGCTATATTCCAATAGCATATATATAATTTCATTTTTGCCTTTATAATTATTATTTTTTTAAACCATCAAGTAACAAGATACAGTTTGGTCCAAGGATTTTGGAATCATTCAGGTCTTTTAAACTAATATAATCAAGTTATAGAGTGGTTTTGCTACACATCACATTATCATAAATTTGTTTAGTTCTGGGTTTAACAATGGGATGGCTAAGCATGGACGTAATATTTTCCTTCCCTTGATTTCCAGCTCCATTTTATTCCTAAATTCAGAAGACTATTGCCATGAAATTTTCATCCACTGGTAATGTATTTGAATTTAGTTCTCATTGTTTCAAATGCCCTTCAAATTTTTATAATTATAAAAATGTCATGATGGAAGTCTACTGATAAGTATGAAAAATATATACTTGATTTCAACAGTGTTCTAGAACTAGTATTACCAAAACTTCATTCAGGAAAATATATGCTTATAGGACAATAAAACTTAATAGTAACTAGAGTTGGCTCTCAGGGATATGACCCTTAGTTGTTCGTTTGTTTTTTCCTCTTCTCCCAAAGTATTTTTTTAAACAAAGGCAATGATAAATATAAAGATAAAACCTATAACCACATTACATGTAAATTCCAATATTTACTTATGGATCTGCTTCACATGGGAATGCTAAGGTAGGTAAGTGCTCATTAAAACTCCTAATTCCAAAGATGGCTGGGAATTTTTACTTGCCAGTTGGACTGAGTCTGAAATCTAAATATGCCTGTTAATCCCCATGTTTCCATGTAACCCAGCCTCTGCTACCTAAATAGATGCCCTCTACCAAGTTTGGATCACAATATTGCTGGCTCCTTATTCAAAGGACCACATGTTCATATGTTAAGAAATGCAAATACATGAACCAGTATCCAAGGCCAGATACATGTTTTTCTTGGCCTATAATAGATCTCTAAAATGCAAGTACAAAACTCCACATTTATTTAGTTTAATAAAAAAAAAAGTCCCCTGCTTCATAGGTAATAATTAACTTAATCTATTAAAAGAGAGCACACAAGACAATCGCTGTCTAAATTCATTACTCGTTTGATCTATAAGCCCAGAAAAAAAGATTTAACTTCCTCTTGCCTTGGTTCATCTACGTTAGCTCCTGAATGGATATGATGGGGCATGGAGGAGGTCATTTTCTAGTCTTGTTTCCATAATAACTAGAGTTCTTCTCCCTGAACAACAAGAGCAACAGTCAAGTTTTACAGGAACACCAGTTCTGAGAGTATCAACTGAAGGACCAAGTATCACTTCAGCCACTGTCATCTTTCTACAAGCTCCTCTCAGGGATGAGAACTTAATTTATTTTTCTATTGTATTACCTTTGTCCTAAAATATTAAGACTAGACAGTTGAGTGAATAAGTGGCATTCAGTAAAAAAAAAAAAAAAGAAAAAGAAAAATATTATCTCTTTAGTCTATAAATACCTTAAAATAAAACTTCAAATCTTTTAAGGTAAAATTGATGATTCATAATTTAGGTGTTTTGAAGAAAAATCCTCAATATTAAAAATGTATAGGGCATAGATCACTTAGTGTTAAAAATGTCTGCCACTGTGAACATATAATATTAAATGCATTTATTACCTAGAGTCCACCCCCAATTTTTTGGTGAATACCGGTGGGTTAAAAATGTCAGATTAAAGACTTTCATCATCTAGATTTTGATTTCAAAACATTATATCCTAACTTCCAGGAGAATTACAGTGTAGGGATACTGAAAAATTTTAACCAATTCTGATGTAACCTTGAAACCAATTAGATAACAAAATATTTTTTCCCACTGTTTCTCCCATGATACCGCAACCAGTTCATGAATAGTTAATGGCTCTGAAAAACACAGTCGAACTTTGTGCTCTTACCTGGCACCCTCTTTGCCCAGTTGATCATGTGGACCAGCTCCCTGTCTGCAAGGCTGGTCAGCAAGCCCATCATTGAAGCCTCACTGAAGGGTCTGGTAGGATCGTATTCGGAGTAGATTATGGGGGGCTCAGCCTCCAGCAAGGCACTGATCATCTGATCGGCTGTCAGGGACAAGACAGGGCTGTTCTTCTTAGTGTGTTTAATCAAGAGTGGGCTCGGCCAAAGGTTGGCAGATCTCCTGTCTCCAGAGGGCTCCGCTTCGTTCCTGCCCTCCCCATCATCTCTCTGGCGCTTGTGCTTCAACATTCTCCCTCCTCTGCGGTCTTTCCGTATCCCTGAGAACATACGGGAAACAAAAAGTTTATTCTTTTTCTCATATAAACTTTCACACTAAAATCATCTTCAATGCTAACAACCCTTTATTTTATTTGAGGAAAGAGTTTGGGGCACAGTTGTGCTGGTAAGTGTTTAACAACCAGCTGTCCACGAGAAAAAAAAAAAAAAGGCTTTGATTTGTAGCATTCACCAATTTCCATGGTGTAACTACCCCCATTTCCATGGCAAATTTCAAGCTAGTTGTCTGAGATTAAGCATCACACAAAACTCCTGAAAAGTTAACAGTAAGCTTTTGTGAGCCAGTACAAGCTGGTCTAACAAGCCATTGGGGTGTGTGTGTGTGTGTAAGAGCTGCTGTAAAAAGGACATGATAATAGTTATTCTTGAAATATGGCTTATATCAAAGATTGCTTCTGCTATGAATATTCTTTCAACAGTAAATTAAAAAGGCATCTTTAAAAAAGCATTTAATAAACATCCTTATCAACCATCTATACCTCTTTATGGAAGACACTAAAGAGAAATGATTTATCCAAAACGTATCTGACAGCCTCTGGATCCTATAGGTGTTCAGTCAGTCTTTCATTGCTACTAAACTGTACCTCACCACCTGAGGAATTGACCCACAACCCTCAACTTGTTTACTTGGTTCTAAGACTGACACAAATGTATTTCTATTTTCCTGATACAAAAGTTTTTAAATAGTTGAAAATAGTTTCCCCCCAAAGATTTACCAGCTGTGGTTCCCACTAACTAAATTATAGGGCAGGGGAGACTCCACTCTCTTTTGCAGAGACTCTGAGGTTTGGCTCAGCATCTTAACCTGGAAAAGGCCAGGCTGTGGTGCTGAAATGTATCAGCAGAAACAAATATTTTAAAGGACAAAAAAGGTCACTAGCGTCCATATTTTCAAAAACTGTAATCTTTTCAAAATATGGCAGATAGCAGCAGTTCTTAGATTTATATAAAAGAAATAATCATTTTGGTAAAAAGTTTATACAATTATTTTTAATATTAAAGACATGAGAAGTCAACATTCTTTATAACATATCACCTGTTCTCTTACTCGAAACGAATAACTAATGTCAGAACTTTGTTCTATTTCGTTCTAATTTGTCAAGGCGTTTTTACAAATGTGCGGTGGTGAATTTTTTATGTATAGCTTTTATTCTTGTAGGTCTAGATTAGATATGTTAGATGATACTAAAAATATAATGAAGCCACAACCCTTCCTATTTGTTCAGTATTAAAATAAGCATTTCCCAGAACTCCTGGAATAAGTAACAATTGTAAAGATTATTATCACTAACATGCACTGAGCACTCACCATGTGCTTAAGCACTTTAATATATACTTTACATGTGAGCATTTCACAACTAATTTAGTCCTCACGATAATCTTGTAAGGTAAATACTATAAAACTGCTGCTTTAGAAAGGTTAATGAACTTGTCTGAGACCATTCTCTATTAAGTATGATGCAAGATCCGAGCTCTGAAATGAAGTTTGTTTTTTTTTCCAGTTAACAGAGTTTTAAAACTGTGTCCAACAAAGTCGACACATTTAAGGATACCTAGAAGTAACATAGTAAAGAAATAAAATGAGAAGAATCGTTGTATCTGACCAATTGTTGTCCACAGTCAGACATCTCAACTCTTTCGCTGCTAGATATGCTAACGAGAGTATAATATCTGAACTGGGGAAGGTAATACAGCCTACTCTCAGCTCATCAGAGCACACCTGGAGTATCACACAGTACTGGATGCTGCAGAGACAAGCAAAACAAATCCATTCAGAGGAACTAGGATGGGGAGGAGATGTGAAATAGGTCACATGGAGAACCACTGAGGAACTGAAAGGGGTTAGCCAAGAGAAAAAAAGACTTTGAGGAAACATGAGTGTCACCTTCACATGGGCTATACTATATAAAATGGCATTATGGTCTGAAGGTTTGTGTCCCCCCCCAAATTCATATGTTGAAATCTAATCCCCAATGTGATGGTAATCAGAGGTGGGGCCTTTGGGAGGTCATCAGGTAACGAGGGTAGAGCCTTCATGAATGGGATTAGTGCCCTTATAAGTAGAGGCCAGGGGGCCAGCTTACTTTCTCCACCCTGTTAGGATATGAGAAGACAGCTGCCTACAAGCCGGGAAGCAGGCACTCATCAGACACCAGATGTGCTGTCAAGCTTGGACTTCCCAACCTCCCGAACTGTGAGAAATAAATGTTTGCTGTTTAATCTATGAAGTCTATAGTATTTCTGTTATAGCACCCCAAACTGACTAAGATAGATGGGTTCAACTTGCTCTTTATGAGCCCAAAGGGTAAAATAGAAAAAATATGTGGAAACTATGAGTAGTTAGAGCTCACTGCAAGGAATCAGTTTGTAGGAGTCAAAGCTGACAACAAAGATAGAATTTGCTGCCGCAGGAAAGGATGTGTTAGATCACTGGAGGTTTCCAAGAATAGGCTAGACGAAGACTTTACAGGGGTGTTACCAAAGGCATTCAATTACCCAGTATTTGCACTACGTGACCTTCAATATACTTTCCATCCTGAGATTGTAGGACTCTCTGTTCTTCCACTTAGAATGTAAGACCAGTGGCCTTGGGATGAAAAACAGGAAAAGAAGATCGAAAGCAAAGAATTCCTACAGGTTCACATTTCTTAGGAAATTCTGAGGTCAGAATTTTGAGAGGATGATTCTGATTGTTATTTACGATGATTCTGATTGTTATTTACCTACTCTGGGTGGGAACTAGGGTGAAAAAAATGCATTGTTCTTCAATATTAAACAGAGTATAACTCAAATACTCTTTGCTCCCCTACTCTATAACTTTATAAAGAGATAGAGAATGTGGACAGATCTTATTGGAAAGCTGCAGCATTCCAATAAAATCTTTTAATATTAGATCTACACGGAAAGATAGAAGCAAGTGACTTGAATAAAGAAGAAATGGTTAAAGGTGACATTGTTTACAGTAAGATGAAAGCAAGTTACCTGAGTAATCAAGTTATGACTATACACATGCATTTTACTTTTTAAAAATGAAGATGATACTTTATGTTATAACTGTAGTTTATCTTCATTTTAAAAGATTTCCAAAATAAAGACAAGTAGATAGAAGGTTAATGAAGCAAAACAAAACATAGTATTACCACCCACTTTCAAAGTTCCCAGCAATCATACTACAGACAATCTGATCTCCAGAAGAAGAATTTTAAACGCAATTCAGGTTCTAGGAGTGACAGTTATAAAAAACTGTTTACCAAAGTATTTGCTCTTTTCGTAAAAATTTGTTCAATACTTACAATGTATAATCACAGATGATGCAGTGGGAAACAAAGATCATGTTACCCTCCATCAGGTTTTCAGCTTGGAGGGAGAAAGCCATGAATCAAAAGTTATTCTGTTATTTGTGGAATGAATGCATTAGCTGCCCAAAACACTATGGAAGGGAGGGGGAGGTGCTAATCGGAGGAGACAAAGAAGCCTTCTCTAGGAGACAAAGTTACATTTGAGCCGATTCATGAGATTTCCTCTCTTGGAGAAATTTCAAAGCTGACTACTCAAATGGTTTAGGTATAGCACTACTTAGAGCAGTGAGCTGAATCACCACACCACTTTGAGTCTCAAATATTTGATTCACGTTGTTGAACACAAGACAAGAATGTCCACAGGCTTGGAATGCAGAACAAGAAAACACAACCAGAGAGATGGAGGAAAGAGCTAAATATTTATAAAATCATCAAATCGTCAAATAGGGTAAGGTAGATTCAATTAGCATTAACAAATATTTTCTTAAATTTACCCCTCAATGTTCCATATTTTTCAAATGTCTAAGCCTCTATAAAATATACAGACAGAAAAAAAATAGCAAGTTGTACATACTGTGTGGCCGACTGCATGTGATAGGATGCCAGGGCACAGCTCAATGAGGAAAGCAACCATTTCTACTTGTAAGCAGTAATTGTCATATAAGTAGTGACATATCAGTGTCACTACTGCATATTTCATAGTAGTTCAAAAAAAATCAAACTGGAATTGAGTGGAACAGGTGAAAAATGGCCCAACTTCTACTATCTTAACCTAGGTTAAATGAGAATTGCAGATCACAACCAATAATTACAGCCTGTGTCACTATGGAATATACAGCCAGTTCCTAATTATATACAGTGATGGGGTATAGGAGTGGCATGCATAATTGAAATCCAAAGATAAATTAAAAAACTCATTCTATGCTCCCTACCAAGAATTTTTCCAGACAACATAGACTGATAAGTATTTTACTTAAGCTCAATTTCCTTTGTCTAAATTATTTTAACTATTTTGGTACCTGAACAAAAGTTCACAAAGCAGGGGGGGAGAAAAACAATTAGCTTAGATCATGCAAATATTAAACAGGCAGCCTCTTGACAGTCAAGATGTTTCTCTGTAACAAGTAGGACTTTGGCTTGTAACGCCATATAAACAAGATGTATTGTCATTCAGCACCCCAAAATGTCATTTCCCAGAATGGTTGAGCACAATATTTAGCAGCACAATGCAGATGTCATGTAACGGATATGCTAGTGTACAAACGTTATTAGCTCTCAAGTTGTGTCACTGATTAGACAAGAGTTGTATCACAGCAAATTTCTCTACACTCCTTTGAAAATTTCATAAGCTTACAATAATTCAGTGATTACCCTCAGGCTTGAGAAACAAACTCTCTCTCATCAAGCAAGCCCACCACACGTGTGAGATGCCACCACTTTGAATTTTATGCCCTTGGGTTAAGCCTTCTCTAATACCCTGTCGCACTGTGGTAAGGATTTAGAAGCGGAGTATAGAACCTCTGCTTCATAATACTCAATGTGAATTTGAGTGATTCTAATCCACTAGGAAGTGTTAATTTCAGGGAATTTATTAAACCAATAAGCACAGACCGCTGGAATGAGAACAAAAGGGAGAGAGATGATGCCCAGGGGACTCTCTAAGATCCCTCAGGAATCTCTCT